CCAGGCCTTAAAAGCAAATCGTAGTCGGCGCTGATGATCGACGCGAACGCACAATCATTCTAAATCGTATCCGCAAAAGGACACACGCGAAACTTGCCCTTGGTCTTGCATATCCTTTGATCCTTGCAAATCGCACTCTTGGTAACGCGAGCGAAATAAATCCATACCAAACCAAAAAGACTACACCAAGAAAAACAATAACAACAAAAGTGAAAGTGAACACCATGGCATAACCAACAGAGCCATTATTGCAATTAAGCGAATAATATTTTTCACAAGCACTTGGCCAGATAAGGCAAGTGCCAACCTTCCATGGAGCCACAGAAGAATTAAGCGCATTCATAAGGCGCATTGATTTCATCAGGCAACTATATCCAACGAGGGACATTCGCCAACACAGCGTCCTGTTCGGAGCCATAGAGATGCAAAGAGGAGGAGACGCGCAGAGGGTCACGCAGCTATCCGCTGCCAACACTTGGACCGAATTGAGGTCGGCGCTCATCTCAGAATTCAAGACGCAAACGTCATGCGAAGAGTCGGAAGTATCCGTAAGTTTGTAGAAGAATTAGAATATAAATCGTATGTCATATCTAATAAGTTAATATTAGAAGAGAATCAGATGAACACTATGCTTTACACAAACGCGTTAAACAATACAGTTAAAGACGTTATTATGAGAAAGTTACCCAATAGCCCGTCATGACATAACTACAATTTCAAAGCTAAAACATGTAGCACAAAGAGATGTCTATGATATAACATGGTCCGACAGAAGTAAAAATCCGAATAACCAAAACAATCCGACTACTTTCAATAAAAATCGGGGTAACATTGATCAACGTAAGTATGGGAAAAACCAAAATTATATAACAGAATATAATACCCCACAGAAACCAGATAAACCAAGAGTTTAGTCTGAATTTAAACCAAGGCAGGGCACAAAACCCCCTTAACTATCAACCCCATCATAAACATTCATCCGCCCCAAATCCGCCAGTAAAAAGGCAACGCGAAAGCGGTAGCGGTCAAATGAAAATGGATAGGACCGAAAATGTTCTTCAAACTGCCTCGGAGTCAGAAACCGAAGAAGAACCAACCCATTTATCAGACTAAATATGAATAATAAAATACTAAAATGTGTAATAGACACGGGGTCGTCTATTAATTTAATGTAAGAAAATTTTTTAAAATTCCCCATAAAAACTTGCCAATTGGAAGTTCAAGCAATCAATGGTACAATAGTATTAAATGAAAGCATTTCGCTGAAACCCAGCAAACTCTGCCCCACTCATCAGAAATTTTATTTACATAATTTTTCAGAAAATTATGACTTGTTATTAGGTAGAGACTTCTTAGAGAGTACCCAAGCCCTAATAGATTACAAAGATAAAACCATACGAATAAACGAATACACATTCACCATGCAAAACAATTCAGAAATCGAATTGCCAGGGAACGAAGCAAAAATCGAATATCTCGTTCCACCCCCGTCTGATGATGAATAATTTGTGTTCGCCATCAACAACGAACTCTCAGAGCTCAACGAATTCCGCCTAGATCATCTAAACGATGAAGAAAAAGGCAAATTAACAAATGTTTTACATGAATTCGGTGACATCCAGTACCGAGAAGGTGAAAATTTTACTTTCACAAGTACTGTTAAACATGTCATCCAAACTAAACATGAAGACCCGGTTTACACAAAACCATACAAATACGCCCAAACATTCGATCAAGAAGTCGATAACCAGATCAAAGATATGATCAAACAAAGGATAATCCGCATGTCGAAATCACCTTATTGTTCGCCTATTTGGATCATACCCAAGAAGAGGGATGCATCTGGCAAACAAAAATTTAGGATAGTCATTGACTATCGAAGCCTTAATGAAGTCACAGTTGATGACAAATACCCTATACCAGCAATGGATGTTATACTAGGCAAACTTGGTAAATGTCAGTATTTTACTACCATTGACCTAGCGAAGGGCTTTCACCAAATTCAAATGGATGAAGGTTCTATTCCTAAGACAGGTTTTTCAACTACAAATTGACATTACGAGTACACTCGAATGCCGTTTGGTCTGAAGAATGCACCTGCAACGTTTAAACGCTGCATGAACAATCTCCTTGAAGATTTAATCTACGCGGACTGTCTTGTCTACATGGACGACATTATTGTGTACTCCACTTCATTGGAGGAACACATATTGTCACTGAGGAGGGTATTCGTAAAATTAAGGGAGGCCAATCTAAAATTGCAATTAGATAAATGTGAATTCATGAAAAAACAAACTGAATTCCTAGGCCACATAATAACAACAAAAGGTATAAAACCTAACCCAGCTAAAATCGAAGCAATCCAAAAATTCCAAATACCTAAAACAACAAAGGGAATCAAATCATTTTTAGGACTTTGCAGTTTTTACCGAAAGTTCATCCCAAATTTTGCCAAAATAGCAAAACCAATGACAGCAGAGTAAAAAAGGTGCAGTCATAAATACAAAAGATAAGCAATATATTGAGGCATTTGAAAAATTAAAATTACTTATAATGTCCGATCCGATACTAGTATATCCCAATTTCGAGAAACAATTCTCACTAACCACAGATGCCAGTAATATTGCTATAGGAGCAGTATTATCACAAGATCACAAATCAATCTGCTATGCAAGCAGAACATTAAACGAACATGAAATTAATTATTCGGCAATAGAGAAAAAACTTTTAGCTATTGTCTGGGCCACCAAATACTTCAGGTCCTATCTATTCGGAAGAAAATTCGAGATCCTTAGCGATCACAAACCCCTAGTTTGGCTAAGCAGCATGAAAGAACCCAACATGAAGCTACAAAGATGAAAAATCAAGCTAAATGAGTTTGATTACCACATCAAATATGTCCCTGGAAAGGAAAATTATGTAGCAGACGCTTTATCGCGAATCAAAATAGAGGAAAATCTATTAGGCGAAACTCCAGATAGCTTAGCTGTAACAATCCACAGTGCACAGGAAGATAATGAAAGACCCGTTAACTATTATAACAGGCAATTAGAATTCATAAAAATTAATAGCAACAAAGGAGATACAATACGCTACTTCCATAAACTAAAAATTAAAATTTCTTATCAGGAAATGACCCACGAATACGCTAAAGAATTGATTAAAGAATATTATGCACTAAGAAAAGTGTAATTTACTTCCATAATGAAGCAGACTTCATAATTTTCCAAAAAGCTTACATTGAAATAATTAATCCAAGTAACCTAACAAAGGTAATGAAATCCACCAAACAAGTTATAGATATCCAAACCTATGCACACTTCAAGGAAATCATCCTTAAAAATCATAAAGACTTATTGCATCCAGGTATAGAGAAAGTTACAGCCTTTTTTAAAGAAAAATATTACTACCCTGATCACCAAAAGTTGATACAAAATATCATAAATGAATGCGAAATATGCAACGTAGCCAAAACGGAACACAGAAATACTAAACTCTCCTTTCAAACGACTCCAGAAACGTTCAACCCCCGAGAGAAATACGTCATGGATTTTTATATCATTGACAACAGACAGTTTCTATCTTGCATAGACATTTACTCCAAATACGCAGCATTAATAGAGATAAACAGCAGAGATTGGCTCGAAACAAAACGAGCAATCCTCCAAATTTTCAACCTAATGGGTAAACCAATAGAAATCAAAGCCGACAAAGATTCAGCATTCATGTGCGCAGCACTTCCAATTATGGTTACAGTCCGAAAATGTCCAAATAAGTATAACCACTAGTAAAAACGGAATTTCTGACATTGAGAGATTTCACAAAACAGTTAACGAAAAGCTAAGAATAATAAACAGTGAGTCCGATCCAGAAAACAAATTAACAAAATTTGAAACGATACTTTATACGTACAACCATAAGACAAAACACAATACAACTGGTAGAACACCAGCTGACATCTTTATATATGCCGGAACCCCCGCATATAATACTCAGGAAAACAAACTTAATAAAATAACAAATTTAAACGAAAAGCGCCAAGACTTTGAAATAGACACTAGATTTAAGGAATCACCTCTAGTAAGATCCAAAACTACAACCCCATTCAAGAAAACGGGAAACCTCAGACAAGTAGACGATAAGCATTTCGAAGAAACTAACAGAGGTAGAAAAATCACACACTACAAATCTAAATTTAAAAAGAAAAAGAAAATTAATATAAGCAAATACGATAATTCCAGATCAAATGGCCAAGAAAGCCCAACTTAAACTGACAGCATATTTAATGCTATTCCTAATAAGCACTTTCGTCCGAGAAGCCCAACTCCAAAGCATAGAAATCAACCCGACCCAAGCCAAAAATGGCTACTTAATCTTTAAGACAGGAGTAATACACCTACCCGTAAACTACGAATACCATTATCTGTCCGTTAATATAACTAAAACAGAACAAACTTATAACAAATTAATCAAACAAACCGAAGAATTCGAAACATATTCACAAATAAAATACTTAAAAGAAAAATTAGAAAGAGAAATGAACGGCATAAGAATAGCAAAACGCAGCAAACGCGGTCTTGCTAACTTTATGGGTACAATTTATAAATATCTATTCGGCACATTAGATCAACAAGATAAAGAAGAATTAGAATCTAAAATGAATAATATAGCAGAAAACAGCGTACAAGCAAACGAACTAAATCAAGTAATAGAAGCAGTCAATACAGGCATAGAAACTATAAATTATTTAAATCAAGCAGACGAGGAAAACCAAAGGCTAGCACTCCTCATATTCAACCTCCAAGAATTCACCGAATACATAGAAGACATAGAGTTAGGTATGCAACTAACTAGACTGGGAATTTTCAACCCGAAATTATTAAAACATGACACTTTACAGCATGTCAATTCAGAAAAAATATTAAATATCAAAACCTCAACTTGGTTAAAGACAGACACCAACGAAATTTTAATCATTTCACATATTCCACGAGAAATAATCAGAACACCAATTTTCGAAATATTGCCTTATCCAGATAATGAATAACAACATACTAACAGAAATTATCCATGACAAGTACTTCATACAAAACAAACAAGCCTACACGGCAAACACCAAAGAATTAATTACAAACAAATGCATAACAGGAATTTTGAATCAAGCCACAACCGAATGTAGCTACACAAAAACAAGAAAGAATTTTGAAATCAATTACATCGAGCCTAACATGCTCATTACTTGGAACCTACCCAAAACACTTTTAAAACAAGATTGCAACAATAGAGAAATAATAGTAGAAGGTAACAACCTTATAAAAGCGTCAAACTGTTCAATCCAATTAGACGAAATAATAATCACAAGCACACTATTAGATTATACACAAACGATTTATGTAAGTAATAATGTAACCAAATTAGAACCACTGTCATACATTCAAGCCAAAGAAATCGTAAAAGACCAAACAAAAATGCACAATACCTTCCAAATTGTAACGTTAACAACACTTTGCATAATCATAAGCGCTATAATATTGTATATTATCTATAAGTTCAAAGCATTACCCCAAAGAATAATTGTCAAATACAAGAAACAAAAAGAAGAACCACAAGTAAAAGAACCAATTAATATACAACCACATGAAAATATCATAAGTAATAGCAACTTAAACGAAACTATTGTAACTAGCAATAATCCAACTTTATACCCAAAAATGTCCGCCTGAGGACAGGCTAATTTCTTAGGGATGGGGAAGTGACATATGTACCACACCCACAACATATACTATAAGCACACACACACATAACATATGTCCACAGCACCTAATGCATACCCCTTATACATAAGCCCTAGCAACTAAGCGCACCAAATATGTAACACGAGACACCCCAATTTGTAACAATAAACCTAGAGCCCCAAAAATCATAAATTCTTGGTGAAAATAACAATTCTGGCGTGGGACCGATCATAAAATCGAAAACCATTAGACATAAACATCCGCCACAATCGTTATTCCCACCAAATGCCCAAATTGCCAACGCAGCTCAAATTCAGGCTCTTAGAATATTCCAGAAACTCATTAAAGAGAATGAGAGCATTGTTTAAAGAGAGCGAGCTCATGATCTTGAGCCCTCAGCCGAGGTTTGCTAAGCGTTGACAAGACTTTAATAATTGAGTTCTACTGACGACTTCGACCCGTCAAGTTGCATCGTGCACAACTGTAAAATTCCAATAAGTCGCGCCTACTGTTAATAAAGGTATTTTTTTCAAGTCACGCGTAGTAACTTGTACGCATGCATGCGTATATCTTGAGTTAAACTATCGGATAGAGCGAGAATAATTTGCAACAAAAAAAAAAAACGCAGCAAGTTAATACACAAATGCGAGCATATCAGGTCATCGCAATATTGTAAGACGATTGAATTGACCATTGCATAAATGATTTCTGTCCGCCATTAGGCAAGATCACTGCAGCGAGCAAGGTCTTAGCCTCGCTTCAGCACATTTATGACAACGAGGCGTTGCATCTTGCAGGAACCTTGTCTTAACAAAAAAAAAAAAACGAATGATAAACAAAAAGAAACACCAAATTAAATTTGAAACAGTTTGAAACGTTAAAATTTTCCTTTTTCTTTCTCACATCACACTCGATTGCTAAAGAATAAGATATTCAATATATTGCACACAAACAACAGAAACTTATATTATATTTTTTACAGACACCACTAAACTTCAATCTCACTACAAGGAAGATCAACACCAAACAAACAAAAGAAACTTAAGGCAAAACTGGCTAACACTCACATATATAAATTAAGATACACTATATAACACAACACTATACACATAATATAAGCAACATACATATAGTCTTGTGAATTTGTACAACAACAGAATTTTGAACCACTGTTATTTATAAGCAGCAATTGCATGGTATAACCCACTGTGTGTTTACAAATTGAATAATCATACCAATAGCATGCATTCTGCAGCCGAATTCAAATAATGCTAACAGAAGCGAAAATCATAAGAGCAGAATGCCTTCTGCAGCCAAGCTCAAATATTGTCTACAATCATTTATAAACAAAAACTGACCAACAGAAAGGCGCTAGCATAAACAAGCTGCAGCTGCTGTCCCTTTGCAAAAAGTCACGTACTCCAATTATTATTTAGCTTTAAATATAGCGTAAGCCAATTTTTGTACTTCAGTCTTAATCCAGATATTCAACATAATAAACTGATACAAATTCACTCTCGTGAAATAAAGTCTTTTTATTCAAACTTATAACTACGTTATTGGCGCAGCCGGTAGAATAGCGTAACATTTTGTGAAACGAAATAAATTAAAGATCGTGAGTGATACGATCAATTAAAGAGATGCTTATCCATACAACTGGTGTCTTCTCTGATCAGCAAGTGTAATTGTGTACAGTATTGCAACTAAATCGAACATATTTCCATTCCAAAATTCGCTATCTGCAAAAGTGTCTGACGTGTCTGAACAATTCAAGTAACGTATAAATCCAATTCGGTCGTTGCAACACAAAGTGAATTTCGTGACACAAACTAAATACCTAAAACTATTAAAAAATGGACCAACCAGAAGGTTCTCATGTTTCTGCACTTCCAGCAATGAATAATTAAACGACCAAAATTTTAACCAATTAACCTCAACAAATACGGAACGTGTCAGCCTTTGAGGAAGACCCTATAACCCTGGGTCCATTTATTAGAAGGATGGATTACCTGCTTCACCTGAGCTCCAGATATCCGGAGATGCCGAGAAGGTACCTAGAATGCTGCAAATCAACAACTGGTCCCAACTCAGGAGAGCTTTAATCTCAGAATACAAGATGCAAACACCAGTGGAAGAGCTACTGCGAAGATTATATAATACCAATTATCAAGGTGATTTACGAAAATTTTGAAGAGAGGTAGAGGCTAAGATAATAATTATAGCTCACAAATTACAATTAGAAGGGAATTTAGATAATTCCAGATTGTATAAGTTATCACCAGAACGGCACGAGGCGTGGAGTCAGCGATCTGCCCATGCCGCTGCCGGAACGCCGCGGCTTCATTATAACTTAAGATATCATTGTAAAATCAGTTCTTTCATACCCACGAAACAATCCAGACGGATTGCCGAATAAACAATAATAACCAAACGGTTTTATTCTAATTGGCGCCCAACAGTTTGGGACACTCCACAATTATAGTGATCGCTTCAGCTAATGCCGCGAGTATTACAAATTGTGAAAGAAAAACTTAATAAATGATCGCTGCCGCGACAAAATTTTTTAATAATCACCCTGCTAACGCTGTGTGACAAAGCGCAATAAAAAAATTCCCAACATTAAAGTGTTGAGTGTGTGACAACAACAACAAAAAATATATTACAAAATACCACCCCAACACATAGCGTTGAGCGAGTTGAACAAACAGAAAAGCAACACAAAATATATTAAAAAAAACCACCTCAACACATAGTGTTGAGCGAGTTAAAAGAAGAGCAACAACAACGACAACTGCAGCGACGGACCTTATTAAGAAGAACTCCTTGCCAATCGTACCGCATTCGCACCACCGCACTGGCTCACCATTAGAAATATGAAATTCTTTCGTTTTTTTGTAATAAAAATTTTTGTTGGCTTTGCTGTTTAGAGTAATTTATTAAAAATAATTAAAATATCAAGAAAATATGTTTGTGTTTGGTGTAAAAAATAGAGCAAAAAAAAAAGAAGCCATTGTTTCGTACAACTGGTACGAGGATATAATACCCAGTGCTAGGCAGGCCAGGATGAACACCCAGCTAAATTTGCAGCCATCACACAACAGACAACAACTGTTAAGGAAGAATTGAAAACAATTACAGGCCATATTCACTCTGTACGAGCCAATACAACCCAAGTAGAAGTTTACCAAAGGGTACAAGTTATCGAGAGAATTAGGTGTGACGAAGCACTAGATATAGTAAAATATATTCCAGAATTCGATGGAAAACAAGCAGACTATGTGTCTTGGCGACAGGCAGCGATCGATGGCTATGGAATTTTGAAACCATTCAATGGCAGCTTAAAACATTACCAGGCAGTTTCAATTATACGCAACAAAGTAAGAGGTTCTGCAAACGCAACGTTAGCCTCTTAAAACACTGTCCTGAACTTCGACGTGATTATCGCCCGGTTAGATTTCACATACTCTTACGCTTCTTACAAATAAGACCCTCATGTCATACGACCCAGCGGCAGCAGCCGTCTTGAATGAAAAATATAGGAGTGAAGCTATGCAGACATTCGTCTCCGGACTCAAGAAATCACTTAGGGTAGCGGTTTTCCCAGCCCAGCCAAAAAATTTGCCAACAGCTCTGGCCCTTGCAGAGGAGGCAGAGGTGAGCAATGATCGCTATGCGTTCGCGACAAATTATGCCAAATACAATGAGGAAAAAACTCAAAAACCCGGAAACCAACGGCAACAGGGTTGGCGTAAGAATGACCGACAGTAACCCACTGATAATTGTAATTATCAAGGCAAAAACCCACGCTTTAGTAAAGGCCAAGCCAATAATAATATTTTAGCAAACAATCCGGCCAATACCCAGCCGCAACAAACAGGTAGCTGAAAACAACGTTTTTTTAATCAAAAAAATAATACTAACCAAGGCCCTGAACCAATGGACCTAGACACGTTATCGCGCTTTAGGCAGCCAACTCAATATTCTAAGAAACCAGCATCAGGGCAATCCATGCAAAGAATAAATCATACGACCCAGGGTCAGGAAGAGACAAGTGAGAGTTATGAAACTGTAGCCCGGGCCGAGGCCACGGGAACACAAGACGACTTGTCCGACGTAGAAACTTGCAATTTTTTAGAGGTGCGTCCCTGCTACCCTTCATCACAAGAACAGTAGCAGGACAAACTATAAAGCTCCTCGTCGACACGGGGGCTTCCAAAAATTACATTAAACAAATTCCAGGGCGGGCACTTAAGGTAAAAACGATACATGGTCACACAACAATAGAGCAAAAGTGCCCTATTTTTTTATTCAAGGTCAAATCCTATTTTTTCATGCTGCACAACTTAAAAGACTTCGACGGCATTATCGGCCTCGATCTTTTAAAGAAAATAAATGCAAATATCAATCTAACAAAAAACACGATTGACCATGATCACGGTTCAGAACCGATCTAATTTATAAAATGCCTTAACGTTAACTTAATGAAAATAAATAACGACGCGGTACCCCATCCTGTCAGGGAAACTTTTAACAAATTAATCAAGCAAAAATCAAAGGCGTTTTCGGACCCTAACGAGTCCTTGCCTTATAATATAAATACTGTAGCCACAATCCGCACAGACGGGGAACCGGTATACTCTAAACTATATCCGTACCCAATGGGCGTAGCTGACTTTGTCAATGCAGAGGTCAAACGACTGTTCGCAGATGGCATAATAAGGCCATCCAGATCACCATACAATAAACGCAGTTGGGTTGTTGACAAAAAAGGTCTGGATGAGCTTGGCCACAGGAAGAAACAGTTTACTAACTTTAGAAAACTCAATCAAAAAACCGTAGTCGATAAATACTACATACCCACCATTTCCGCAATACTGTCAAACATGGTAAGATCTTACCTCGGGTTTCCACCAGATTGAGCTGGCGGAGAAAGTTCGGGAAAAGACAGCTTTTTCCGTAAACAATGGCAAGTACGAATTTTGTAGACCTCCATTTGGGCTAAAAAATGCCCCAAGGCGATCGACGACGTCCTACGCGAACAAATCGGAAAGACCTGTTACGTCTATGTAGATGACGTAATCATCATCTCAGAGAATAAGGAAGACCACATCAAAGACATTGATTGGGACCTTAAAAGTCTATTTGACGCAGGCATGAGAGTTTGTCAGGAAAAGTCCAAGTTTTTCAAAAAAAGCGTGGAATACCTGGGATTTGTTGTGTCAAGAGGTGGAATAACAACATCGCCTGAAAAAGTTCAGGCTTTCAAGAACTTCCATCCTCCAAGTACCTTGTTCGGCCTTAGGTCATTTTTGGGCTTATCTAGCTACTACAGGTGCTTTATAAAAGGCTTCGCTACCATCGCAAGTTACAAGACCGCTAACGGACCTTCTAAAAGGCGACAACGGCAAAATTAATGATAATCAGTCCAGGAAGGTTTCGATTAATCTAAGCTCACAGCAGCTACATGCCTTCAACAAACTAAAAGACACATTGGCATCAGAAGACGTGCTTCTGATATACCCAGATTTTGAAAGACCATTCGACTTAACGGCAGACGATTCGGCACACGGCCTAGGGGCAGTGTTAGCCCAAGATGGCAGACCAATCACAATGATTTCCCGGACACTACGGGACAATGAAATAAACTTTGCGACGAACGAACGGGAACTCTTGGCCATAGTATGGGCCCTCAAGAACTTTCGAATTTAACTGTATGGTGTTAGGAACTTAAACATTTACACAGATCATCAGCCACTCACGTTCGCGGTATCAGATAAAATTCCTAACGCTAAGATAAAGCGCTGGAAATCATTTATCGACGAACACAACGCAAATATCATCTATAATCCAGGTAAAGGAAATCAAGTGGTTGACGCTATGTCTCACCAAAAACTGAACGCTTTAAGCAGCGACTCCGATTCACATACGGAGGTAGACTCAAATATCGCCACAATTCACAGTGAGCAGTCCCTTACCCACACCATTGAAACAACAGAAAAACCAATAAACTGTTTCCGTAACCAAATCCTCATTGAGGAAGCAGGATTCCCATCGGTTAGAACGTTTATCCTTTTCAAGGACAAACTAAGACATGTGGTCCGATTCACAGACAGAGAGGTCTGATGGCAGACACTACAGGACTTGGTAAAAACTGACGTGGTCAACTCATTACACTGCGAATTTCCGATACTAGCTTTTATCCAACACAGGCTGGTAGAGACATTCCCCGCAACAACTTTCAACTATTCTAAACACCTGGTCGCGGATATAACCGACCAAACCGAACAAAGGGAAATTGTTATCACCGAACACAACAGACCGCACCGCGCTGCCCAAGAAAATGTCAAACAAATATTGCGTGACTATTGCTTTCCCAAAATGAGCAGAAAGCTACGGAAATTGCCGCAAGTTGGAAAATCTCTTCAAAATCTCTTCACAGGGGAACTACTGCATGTCGACACTTTTTCTACCGACAAAAAATATTTTTTGACATGCATTGACAAGCTCTCCAAATTCGCCAACCAATAAA